GGGCCTGAAGCGCCCCCCCCCGCCCGTGAAGCCCCTCCACCCCCTGCCCCCCACTCCCCCGGCCGCCCCTGCACCCCCCCGCCCCTGAAGCCTCTCTGACCCCTGCTCCCCACTCACCCTGCAGCCCCTGCATCCCCCCGCCCTTGCAGCCTCTGCGCCCCCCTGCCTGCCCTGCCCCTGCACCCGCCTGCCCTTGCAGCCTCTGTGACCCCTGCACCCCCTGCCCCTGCAGCCTCTATGCCCCTGCCCTGCTCCTCCTCGCCCTGCAGCCCCTGCACCCCCCACCCCTGCAGCCTCTATGCCCCTGCCCTGATCCTCCTCGCCCTGCAGCCCTTGCACCCCCCACCTGCCCTGCCCCTGAACCCGCCTGCCCCTGCAGCCTCTATGCCTCCGCCTGCCCTGTTCACCCGGCAGCCTCTGCCTCCTGGGGGCTTCAGAAGCTCGGCGGCGTGGGTCCCTGCAGCCCCGGCTGCAGATTCCTTCATGCGCCGAGCACGTTCCCCGGCTTGTCTGTCCCCGCGGGAAACAGCTCCCGCGGTGCCGGGTTCCGAGCTGCGCGGGGCAACGGGGCCACAGGAAGGGTCCCCCAGTGGCTGGGGGGGTCCCCGCCCGCGAGGAAAGCTTGAGTCTCCCCCTCCCCCCCCCGTTCCCCGCCCGAGCATTGTAACCGGGGCAGCTGGGCTGCGCTGCGGACCCGGCGGATCGTGCTGGGCGGACCCTGGCTTATGCCTCCCTATTTCCCCGGACATGTCCGGCTCTTTGGAAATTCCCCCTGGACGGGGATTTGAGCACCAAAAAGCCGGACATGTCCGGGGAAATCCGGACGTATGGTAATCCTATGCACTTTACAGTGGCTTGCAAGCCTCCTCTTAACTGTTCTGATTGCTACTCGAATTAGGTTCTTTGAGAAATCCTTTTTATTTCTGTTTCCTTCAGAATTAACTTTCTGGTACTGAGGTTGATAATAGTCACAAGGCATGTGATCACCGAATGTTGAAAGGGCACTCTCCAGCAGCTTCCTTCAAAACCAGCGGCCCAGCTCCTGTCTTACCTGGCTGGCAGCAGGGCCTTGTTCACCTCATCACAAAAGAAGTCTATGTTCTGTA